ACACTTGATTGCCTTTTTTCCAGGAGGGAGGTCTTCCAAGATCCATGTCCTATTGTCTTCCAGATCCTGTATCTCTTGGTGCATAGCCTCACGCCACCAGGCATTAGTCATTGCCTCAAAGAAATGAGTACATTCTCGGCCTGCAGTAATAGCTGCCAAGAAATGTCTGTATTTCATAGAAAAATTTTCATACGTCACATAATGAGTTATGGGATAAGGAGTACCTGAGGACTGAGTTGATGCAGGAGAAACAGCGGAGGGGTCTAATCAACTAGCTGAGTGTGTGACAAAGTCTTGCAAATAGTTGGGGGTCCGCTTTTCTCGATGTCCGTGGCCTAACAACTCCATGGTGGGCTGAGGAGCACCTAGAGTTTCATTATTTCTGCAATCTGTATGGCTCGTTGTCTCATCAAGAGGACCTGCCTTCTCATCATTACCCGTGTTTTGATGTTCTTCTTCATTGATCGTGTCGCTCCCCCTGATTTCTATATGAGGTGACTCAGATACCATGTTAGGAGTGGCCCAAGGCAACCCATCATTTTCTTTGGCTACGGGAGGATTGGTTACTGAGGGTTGATATTCCAAAGTGGCAAAGGAAAACTCAGCCTCACTAAACACCACGTCTCGTGAGACGAAGTAATCACCAGACTCAAGGTCGTACAATTTCCACCCCTTTTTCTCAAAAAGGTATCCAATAAAGACACATTTCGTACTCCTAGCGGCAAATTTGTCACGGCCTCGAGTATGCGATAAACATAAGCAACCAAAAACTTTGAGATGTTTATAAGAAGGACTTTGTCCAAATAGCATCTCGTAAGGTGTTTTACCACCAAGAAGGGTCGAAGGTGTCCGGTTAATCAAGTACCCTGCGGTCAAAACACACTCACCCCAGAAATTGATGGGAAGATGTGCTTGAAATCTGAGCACTCTGGCTACATTCAAAATATGACGATGCTTCCTCTCCACACGACCATTTTGTTGTAGTGTCCCAATGTAGGAAGTTTGAAATGAAATTCCTTACTTATCAAAATATGACTTCAAGGATTTAAACTTTGTTCCATTATCACTTCTCACCACCTTAACCTTCTTATTAAATTGTCATTCAATCATGACACAAAAATTTTTGAATGTTCTACCAACTTCACTTTTTTGAACCAGCAAATAAATCCAAACTGCTTGAGAATAATCATCGACAATTGTTAGAAAATATACAACACCACAAGATGCAAGTATTCTATAAGCACCCCATAAGTCACAATGAATTAATACAAAACAATCAGTCACTTTATTGCTACTTTGAATAAAGACATCTCTAGTTTGTTTTGTCGTCAAACAAACATCACAAATTTTGTTCCAACTATTACTGATATTAAGAAGTAAGCTAACCGTTTGATAAGAGGGGTGTCCCAATCTCCGATGCCACAAATCGCATGACCCAATTCCATCTATCTCGTAAGCTCGAACCGGCGCCACACCCTTGAAGATATAGACCCCATCAAGCTATTCAACTGCACCAATCAGAGTCCAAATGCGGTCCTATATCACACATAACTTATTAGTAAACGTCACAATATAATCTGTATCACGGAGTAACCGACTTACTGACAATAAATCACATTTGAGTTTTGAGACATATAATACGTGCAACAATTAAAAATTATTTCCTAGTTCAACAGTGCCTTCTTTCACGGCTTCGGTGTGTGACCGTTGGGTAACCTAAAAAGACAAGGTGCAAGATCATAGGTGTCGACGAGCACATTTAAATTCCCTGTCATGTGATGTGAGGCCCTAGAGTCAATAATCCATTCAGTGGAGTAATTCTTACCAGAGAGTTTTTCATTGGTCCTGGTTTTGTAAGCATTAAGCATGCTTATAAGAGTCTATCATTGCTCGTCATTGAGCCCGCTCAATCCGGTCTGGTCTCTGTTAGTCACAACTGCATCATGCCTTGCTGATGACTGAGCAGCATGAGCCTTTGTTGTACCTCGGCCACGTTCACCCCCTTTTCCTCGTCCTGCACCACGTCCGGTCGAGGTATCGCGGGGCCTGTCTCCCCACCAATCAAGGTATCCAATTAATTGGAAGCAACTCATTGCCTCATGGCCAAATCGACCACAATTGTTTTGTCTTTTGAAGCAGATTTACTGTCTCGCGATGTTTGCGAGGCTTGTGCTGCAAAACCAACCGCATCTACCCGTTCCTCCTTACCTCGTTCCAATGATCGATGTCGATCTTCTTGTATGATCATTGAGTAAACTTTATTCATATTTGGAATTGGCTCCATACTCAATATGTTGGAATGCACAGTTCTAAATATATCGTCATCCAAACCCATCAGAAATTGGTGGATTTTCTCTTTTTCTCTTTCTTTAACCAATTCGACTGCTGCTCCACACCTACACCCGCATGTACATACGGGTACCTTGGAGTAGCTTCCTAATTCGTCCCACATTGCCTTCAATTTTCCATAATATGCAACCACTGCACCTTAGAGTAGCTTCCTATTTCATCCCACATTGCCTTCAATTTTCCATAATATGCAACCACTGTCTGTGCATGTTGCTTGCAGTTAGCAAGCTCGAATTTAATCTAATAAATCCGGGGTCCATTGCCGATCGAGAATTGTTCCTTCAGATCATCCCAAAGTTCTTTGACCGTCTCCATATATGTGATAGTTGAACGCAGTGATGGATCGACGGTATTGAAAACCTAAGCCACCAACATTGAATTCACAATCCACTAGAGATCGATTTCCGGAGCATCATCTTTTGGCTTCATGACCTTGCCTTCGATGAAACTGATTTTGTTTTTGGCACGAAAGGCAGTTCTCATCACCTTTGCTCATTCGTCGTAGTTATCTCCTCTCAAGACCACCGGACTGATAATAACTCCAGGATTATCTGATGGATGCAAATAGAAAGGAGAAGACGGTCCAACAGACTTACTCGAGCTTTCACCGTTCCTGTCGTTATTGGCAGTCATGGTGACCAATCAACAAGACTTGTCAGTAGTAATATCGAGATCTTAAAGAAACAGGAAGAAACACGGCACAAGAACAAGCAGATCACTGCCGTAGTCTTTGATTATCCTCTGAATCGTCGATTGGCAGGAACGAGCTTGGTTTATCAAAGTCAATGGGCTTCGGCTGCTGATGCTGTTGAATATTGTGACTCGCGCACTGTTCCATCCTTCTTCAAAAGTAAAAGAACCAGGATACATGAATACAGAAGAGACCCGGGGGATGGAGATATTATAGTATGTCAATTCCTTTGTATGACTGCAACTGGTCACTGCTGTCTGCTGCTACGGTGGCTGTGACGCTCAGTGGTCGGTGGACAAACGGTGAGAGGAAGAATGAAGAGTTGATCAGTGAACCAGTGGATCATTCCTGACTGTCCAAAGGAGAAAGAAAATAAGGAGAGATGTGTTCAGTCTCCATGAGAACAGAAAGAACAATTGCAGAGAAATAGTTCAATCAAGAAAGCATGACCGTTGCTGGGTCAAGAGTTGCAGGGAGATGACCGGATTAAGAATCGTTGAGTAGAAGGAGCACGGCTGGATCAAGAACCGTTCAACAAGCACCGATCACAGTTGAGCTAGGAGTTGCAACCTGATCAAGATTTGCAGAGAGGAAACGAGAAATGCCGATGAATGGTTGGATCAAGAATCGCTGGGCAGAGGAAGCACAGCTTGATCAAGGTCCACCGAACTTAGACCAAATCAAAATTGCATAAGAGAATCAAGAAACACAGAGGAATCAAAGAGAGACAGATTTCCGCTCTGATACCATGAGAAAAATTTCAGAAGCCAAAGGTGTGTTTTCTTCCATAGATACCTTATGATATTTATATACAAACGGTGGAGTTCCTTGCTCCCCAAAACTTTCTTAAAAGAAAGGTCTTCCTAATCCAGAAAGGAAAACAAAACATAAAGACTTCCTAATTGTACAGGTAACATACAGATCCGGGACTCTCCTGTAACATACAGACCGGGACTCTCGCGAGTCTTATCTCCATCCAATACAACCAATCAAGCAAGTTCTCTTTTTCCCATTGACTTCCCTCACCAAAACTTTTTCTAAACTTGCTTCAAATATTCATTACAAACTCTCTTTGGGTGTAGGAAACATGAGATACAATAGGAAGGAATGGTAGACACCACTGAAGTCAGTGGTGTCACTTTAGGATGCAAGTTGGAGACAAAGATGACTCCTGACTAAGCGGAGTTCACCTTTGGCCCGAGGCTCTCTCATAATGCTTAATTGCTTCCATGATTTTCTTCCCTTCTTCTAAATTTGCAAAAAGTGAATTTAAATCTATCATCTAAAAACAATAGGTGAGAAATGATGGGCCAACCTCTATTCAATTTTACACTAGATAATTGATTCTCATTTACTAGTCTATTAAGAGTTGTCAAGAGGACATCAAAGCACAAAATGAATAAATAAGGAGAGATGGGATCTACTGGCATTAGACCTGTTCATGGCCGGGTGGCTCGACGGATCAGCTCGACCCCCAGATGGGCTTGAACAGGCTTTTTGACACGCGGGCTTAACCTCGGGCCAAAAAGCCTGGCCTGCATAAAATTCGAGCCAGGCTCGGGCTTTGCCAAAATAGCCTGGCCCGACCCGATCTATAGTTAAACCTAAGTAAACCCAACCCGACCTATAGTTAAACCTAAGTAAAAACCCTATATGATGTCCATTTGAATAAATTTTTTGATTTAAAAATGTTGTTGATTCACTTATAGGCCCATTATTCATTTAAATAGGAAAAAAAAACATGTAAATTAAAATAGAAAATGTCCATTTGAATAAAAAAACACACCCCACTGTGTTAGTTATTTTCATAAAGTGGAAGATTTCATGAGTAATTACACTACAAGAAAAAACGGCTACGCCACTGGCCTTGATGCATCAATGGTGCGGTTTTATCATAACTGTCACCATTGAATAAATCCAACGAAATGATTAAAACAGGGTGTCGGTTCAGTGAACTAAACCGGCGGTATTCGAATTGAAGCGGTTTCAGTGAATAAAACTGGTTCAATGCTTTCCCTCCATTTCTAAATTCACATGGAGCCACGCGATTTCTACGAGCAATATGACTCCACTTCTACTTTCTCAAAGTTTCCTTCGTTGATCGTGATTCTGAATCGTTGAGGTCGGATTTATATTCAATCGACGCATTGAGAGTTGTGAAATTCAACAGAGAGTCGAGAAAGGTACGTTCATCGACCCCTATATTTTTTATACCCCATTCGTTTTTCTGTATAAATTATAAAACCCTAATCTTGCTTTTTTTTTAGGTCGAGAATAGCTACTACTCTACACTCCTAGTACGCAGAAGTTCAATCTATATTTTCTTTATACTCGCGGTTTTGATTTCTTTCCCCTTAGCGGTGACGAGGCTCTTAAACTTTTTCAAGAGGATCTTGCGCTATTAAATATTGTAAGATCCTATAATCCATATTAATTTATTTACGCTATCTTCTTTTCTTGCTTTGGTTCTTATACGAAGATGAGTACATGTGTCATAGATCAAGTATGTGAATGCAAGTTTTTTTGTTGCATTGGTTCTATACTCCTAGCACCGAAATAATTGCTGTTCTTGTAAGTTTTTTTGTTCGCCAATTGTAAATTGTGGGTTTTTGCATGCTGATGGATTCTTGAATTAAGTGCATTGTGCATTGGTAGGATCAGTTATACTTTTACAGTT